GGCTGCTCTACCATATAAATCTATGATCTGTCGTACAGCTAGTGACTGTTTCTTAGGATATATTTTGGCAATACATAGTAAATGTTAGATGAAGCTCCTTCTCTGAGTAGGAAGAGATTTTCCACACTATGTGAATTCACACATTTGTTTGAATACTTACTACGAAATTATATAACACTATAGGGCTTCAAAGAATGAGACTATTCAATAAGAGAATAGGTTATATCGGCAGGGAAATCATGTTGAACATTCACAAACACTGTATCCCATCAACCAGGTTTAAAATCAGACATTTCATGCACAGATATTTAATCATCAATAATTGTCACTTGTGGAAAGTACTACGAAACTATAAATTAAAAACCTATTTAATACTGCTGGGTGTGGTGGCACATGCCTTTAGTACCAGCAATAGGAGACAGAGGCAGGTGGATCTCTGTGAGATTGAGGCCAGCCTGGTCTACATTAAGAGTTCCAGGCCAGGTTATAGAGAAAAAACCAAGAAAATTAGACTTCAGACATTTGATGGGGGGGATTAAAAATGGAGGGTTCACATATGAGAAGGGATCTAAATGTGATCAAAATATCTTGTATGATACTCACAAATAAGAAAAAAAATTGAAAAACAAAAAAAACTTAAAGATTGGCTTGAGATATCCTAACAAACTAGCTAGGCACTGATATTCTAAAAGTTACTTTTTTTCTTTTTGTCATGAATTTAGTTTCTAGTTTTGCACTTAGTTTTCAATCTCTGTTCTCAGATTACTTTGGCTCAAGACTTTACTCTAAAATAATTTAAATCCTTAATACTCTTTTTTTTAATTCTCCCTTTCTCTCCCTTCCTCCCTCTCTCCCTCTGTCCCCACCCCTTTCTTTGGCCTTTTGAGACAGGATCTTGCTATATAGCCTAGACTTGCTAAGGCTCCCTATGTAGCCCAGAGAGGCCTCAAATTCATCAGTCTCCTGCCTCAACCTCCCGAGTGCTGGAATTGAAAATGTGGGCCACCACCCCCAGCACTTGCTATGCTACTTATAGGAAATGTGTTAATCTGCCTAGCCTTGGCTGTCTCATTTGCTAGTCACAGGGGATGGAGAAGATGACTTAGCACTTAAGAGCATACACTGCTCTTGCAGAAGACCGAAGTTCAGTTCCCAGCACCCACATGGCAGCTGATAACCATCCTTAATTCCAGTTCCAGGGGATCCAACACTATCCTCTGATGTCTGCAGGCACTGCAAAACATTGGTGCACTTACATACATGCAGTCAAAGCACATTAAATAAATGTATAAATAAATAAATAATAAAATAAATGCCAGTCACAATAGACCCTACTGCAGCATTCCAGTCATAAGAAATTTGTAGAACAGGACAACTCATGGAGACAGAAACTAGACTCTGCCTTCTTGACGGTGGGGTGGATGAGAGAATTGGGAATAATTGTTAATGTGCATGTGATTTTTTGGTGTGATAAGAATATATTTCAATTAAATAGAAATTATAGTCATAAACTTCATGAATATATCAAGACTCTGAGTTTTATACTTCAAATGAATTTTATGTGCATTATTCTTCATAGTTGTCATTTAAAAAATGGAAGTGTAGCTGGGTGTGGTGGTGCACGCCTTTAATCCCAGCACTTAGGAGGCAGAGGCAGGTGGATCTCTGTGAGTTCAAGGCCAGCCTGGTCTACATGGTGAGTTCCAGGACACCTGGGGCTACAGGGAGACCCTGTCTCAAAAAGACCAAAAAAAAAAAAGGAAGTGTAGTAGAAGTTGGCCCACAAAACTTTACTTATTCTAGTTTTTAACTTTTCTAGGGAGATGTGAATAATCACTCCAGAGAGGGAACTAACAGACCAAAGTAAGGAGTCCACCGAATTCCAGTCTGCTGAACCAATGAGTTTATTGGGGTTCCTTATAGGAGTATGGGTGAGGACTTACTTACAGGAGCATACAAGACTGAAAGACATCCAAAAAATATCCACCCCGGCTTGAGTGATGACTCCTGGAATCTGTATCCCTCCTACTCTCTGGGTGACTGTAGGCAGCTTCACAGGTTAGACAATGTGTTTAGGCAGTCTGGGTGGTCAGGAGAGTCCTCTCCCCGACAATTACTGCTTATCTAACCTTGGGGAGGGGGTCTTGTGAATCTCAAGTTTCAGAAACAGATTTGTGAGACTCGTGAGGTTTTTTTCCTTTTTTTTTTTTTTTTTTTCGATTGCCTGTGCCTGTGCCTGGTAAGCTTTCCTTCGTGAATCTTTCAGAGGAAGTTGCTGTGCAACAGTTCCTAGACAAGGTAGTAAAGTTTTATGCTTGATTTTGGGTTTTCCTCATATGATTGACTCTTTAAGTTAATTCAGCAGAGAGAGAAACAGTTTGTCCTATTTGTGTTGATTGTGAGCATGTCTTCCTCCTGTGCTTTGGGGTCTTCCAGAATTTCCCATTAGCTTTTAATAAGTAATAGGATGAGGGCCACAGGCCTTCCTGAGCTTTACATGCTAGTGTCCTCATTTATTACATGCCCCATGAGTGTTATTTCTCCAAAAGGTCACTTACACTATACTTGCCTATTTAGAAAGTCAGACCTTTTAATGGACATTATATTAGTTAATTGTCCTGTGCTGTTTAAGCTCCTTGTGAAGCTGGCTCTGGAAATTGGTTTGCCCCCACCGTTTTAGACCCAGCTATGTTTGTCTCAAAGGGTCCGCCAAGGCCCATTATCTGGAGATGAGATGACCTCCCAACTCTGACAGGGGGGAAGAGAACAACAAAACAGCCCAAGAGTAAAAACATTGTGTCCTTGAACATAGCTAGAAGATAAATCATTTCCAACAGATGTTACTATTGTTTGCCCCATGATATAAAAGTACCTCCAGGGGCTGGAGATATGGCTCAGTGGTTAAGAGCACTGACTTCTCTTGAAGAGGACTGGGGTTCTGTTCCCAGCACCCACATGGTGGCTAACAACCAAACATATTCCAGTTCCAGAGGATCCGATGCCCTCTTCTGAGCTCCTCGGGCATTGCATGACATGGGTGCACTTATATACTTTCAGATAATATACTCATACACAAAAAATAAAAATAAATCAATTTTTTTAAAATAAAATGTGCCTTCAATGAGAAAGAGAAGCAACAAGTTCATCTGCGGCTTGCACATCCATAGAGGGAAAACTCAATTGTGAATTCCAGCTGACTGCCTCAACTTCCCCAGTCAGTTTCTTCTGGATGTCATGAACACCTGATTTGATGATATTATCTCTGTTGCCATTTGTTCTTTTACTTGGAAGTCTCACATAGGGGCAGACATTCTGCCTGGGATCTTCTTTACCTTCAGACTCTCCAGTTCACTCTTTTCATTATCGGGGCTTCCTCAGTCAGTTTCTTCTGGGTGGTATGTCTGATCTGTTGCTCTACTATCGTTCTGCTGCTTGCTTGTTTTGTTCTTTTATTCTTGCTTGCTGTATCCTTAACAACCCTATTCATTTAAAACTAAAAGCATGACTATCATGGATCGTCTCCCTATGGAGCAGACCTGTATGATCTTGCATAGTTAGTTAGTTCATCATATTCGAACCCTAATTTTCTTTTCAATATCTACTCCCCACGGTTGTGAAGACTTAATGAGAAAATGGGTTAGGTCAGTCCCCTTTATGGTGTTTGTCTCAGTTAATGCCACTTTCATCCATACTTTTTCTCTTCCATTAAGAAATATTCTGGCTCGCCTTTAATCCCAGCACTTGGGAGGCAGAGGCAGATGGATCTTTGTGAGTTCAAGGCCAGCCTGGTCTACATAGTAAGTTCCAGGACAGCTGGGGCTACCAGGAGACCCTGTCTCAAAAAGACAAAAAAGAAAAGAAATATTCTGGACAATAACCAGAACACACTCATCTTAGCTGGTGTGACAGTACACACCTGTAACCCCAGCACTCAGGAGGCTAAGGCAGGAGAATTGCCAATTCATTGTCAGCCTGAGCTACACAAAGACCTTGTCTGAAAAACAAAGAACAATAAAAGCCAAACAGAAAACCAACCAAACAAAAACACTGGTAAAATGCATATTCCCCAGAGATCAGTGGCCCCTCTGCCATGACCTAGTTTCCTGTGTAGCAATCCATTGCTTGTTAAAATCAACCATATGTGACAGTACTTTCCTTCCATCTGTGTGTCCCCTACTGTGCCCTTTCTAGTGACTGGTACACTGGAGGTTGTCAGTGAGTGGGGCTTTCCTATGAGACCACACAAGCTGTTCACTTGGATTTTCCAGTCTGGTGCTGAGAGGACTGCAGTGTCGGCATCAGTCTGTGACAAATGAGCACTGTCCATGTTTCTTTGGAAGCTGTGTGACTTTCCCTTGTGTTGAGCAGCAGAGAACTTAATTGTATGTCATACCCAAGGAGAGTGAAGGCTTTCTCTTCCACCATCAACCTAACAGTTCAATTCTTGCTTTCCAGGTAATTCTTCCAGGATTTCCCTCCTGTCAGCTGTTAGTATGCAGAAGCGAATACTTAAACAGCGCCAAGGAATTTATTCAAAGAAGTATTCTCAGTTTCCTATTGTCTTTGAATGTTTGAAACTAGGATGTTTGAACTCATTACAGATTAACCTTTCCTGCTCATACTTAGTTCACTCTTGTATTCCTTCTTCTTTTTTAGAAAATCGTATGAATGATAACCATGTGTGAAAAATATAGAAGGTAAATAAAGGTGTTTAGAAACAGAGGTCAATTTTGAGTGCCATTTTCTGAGCAGAAGTGTGCAGAAGCTTCAGTTCTACCAGTAGGAACTGCCCAGTATATAGGTAGAGTGTTTTGGGTTTATATTTGAAGAAACCAAAACTGTTGTTATCAGTGTAAAAACACATTCTGTGTTAGTTTTTCTTTCCTTCACAGGAGCTGTAGGAATTGACCACATGAAACCCGGCACTGTTTCCTTCTCATTTCTAAGCCCAGAGAATTAAATGACAGACATTTAATCTGAACCTTCTTTTCTACATCTAGGAGCGGAAAAAGAAATTTGAAAAGGATGGTGAAAGGTTTTACTCATTACTGGACCGTCACTTACATCTATCATCCAAAAAGAAGGAATCTCAGTTACAAGAGGTATGTTCACATAACTTGTGTTGCATTCTCTCCCTTAGAAAGTATAGGGATTTCTGGTTGTGAGGTTTTCTCCATGTCCTGGCTCCAGAGGAGCCATAAGAGCACTTTCAGTGAGAATCCCTGTTTTTATGCCAGTACCATGCTGTTTTTATTACTGTAGCTCTGTAGTGTAATTTGAGATGAGGGGTGGTAATGCTTCCAACATTTGTTTTTTTAATCAGGATTGTTTTGCCTATCCTGGGTTTTTTGTGTTTCCATATGAAATTTGAGATTGTTTTTTTCAATATCTGTGAAGAATTGTGCAGGAATTTTAATGAAGATTACATTGAATTTGTTGATTGTCTTGGTAGGATGGACATTTTCACAAAATTAATCCTACTGATACATGAGCATGGCAGTTCTTTCCATCTTCTGGTATCTTTTTCAATTTCTTTCCTCATTATCTTAAATTTTTTATTAAAAAAGTCCTTTACTTCTTTGGTTAGATTTATTCCAAGATATTTTTTATGAGTTTTGAGGCTATTCTGAATGGGTAGTTTCCCTGATTTCTTTCTCAGTATGTTTTTTGTTGGTATAGGAAAGCTACTGATTTTTGTGTGTTAATTTTGTTTTTTGGTTTTTTTTAATTTCTGGAAATTTTTAAATTTATTTTTACGTACACGAGTGTTATGCTTGCATGGATGTAAGTGCACCTATGTTGTGCGATGCCTGCGGAGGACAGGAGAGGGTGTCAGATCCCCTGGAACTGCAGTTACAGATGGTTGTTAGCTGTCATGTGGGTACTGGGATTCAAAACCTGGTCTTTTGCAAGAACAGCCAATGCTCTGAACTGCTGAGTCATCTATCCAAACCCTGTGTGATAATTCTGTATCCTGCTACTTTGTTGAATGCATTTATCAGCTCTAGGAGGTTTCTGGTGAAGTATTTAAGGTCTTTTATGTATAGAATCATATCAGCTGCAAACAAAGGATACTTTGGCTTCTTCCTTTGCAGTTTGTATCTCCTTTATCTTTTTCATTTGTCTTATTGCTCTAGCCAAGACTTCAAGTCTTATATTGAACAGAAATGGAGAGAGTGGACAGCCTTGTCTTGTTCTTGATTTTAAAAGAAATGCCTTGAGTTTTCTCCATTTAGTATGATGTTGTCTGTGGGCTTCTTGTGTACTGCTTTTAATATGTTGAGATATGCCCCTGTATCCCTAGATTCTCCATGACTTTTATCATGAATGGATGTTGGATTTTTGTCAAAGGCCTTTTTTTGCATCTAATGAAATAATCATGTGGTTTCTGTCTTTGAGTCTGTTTGTGTGGTGGATTACATTGTTTGATTTACATATGTTGAACCATTCTGCATCTCTGGAATGAAGCCAACTTAATTATGGTGAGAGCTTGAGTTTTTGAGCATTACATTGAGAAAGTTTGCTTCTATGTTCATCAGAGACATTAGTCTATCATTTTCTTTTATTGTTGAGTCTTTGATTTTGGTATTAGAGAAGTTTTGGTTTCATAGACATAATTTGAGAGTGATCCTTCCTTTTATATTTTATGGAATAAGTTGAAGGTTTGGTAGAATTCTGCTCTGTATCCATCAAGTTGAGGGCTCTTTTTACTTGGGAGGTTTTTTTTTTTTTATGGTCTTTTTGAGACAGGGTCTCCCTATGGCCCCCAGCTGTCCTGGAACTCACTATGTACACCAGGCTGGCTACTTGGGAGATTTTTAATTACTGCCTCTATCTCATTGGTTGTTATGGGTCGGTTTAAATTATTTACCTTATTTTGATTTAACTTTCTTAGGCCATACACATCTAGAAATTTATCCATTTCTTTAAAATTTTCCAGTTGAATGGAATATAGACTTTTTTCCTTTCTAAAAATATTTTTGTTGAGCTTTATAAATTTTATACAACATTTCACACTCAAATGCACACCCCTTCACCTATCCATCCCCCCCATCCCCCCACCAAACCCTATGCACTCTGCCATACATGCTGAATTTTAAAGTATGTCTTAATAATTTTCTGAATTTCCTCAGGGTCTGTTTGCAATGTTTCCCCTTTCATCTCTGAGTTTGTTAATTTGGAGCTTCTCTTTCTTTTGGTTAATTTGGCTAAACATTTGTCAGTCTTAATTTTTTCAAAGTATCAATTCTTCATTTCATTGATTATTTATACTGTTTTCTAAATTTCTGTTTCATTAATTTCAACATTAATTTTATTTATCACCTCTGGTTTCCCCTTTTAGGTGTTGTTTTGGGTTTTCCAAGGTTTTCAGGTACATCATTAACTTATTTATATGAGATGCTTCTAATTTTCTGGTGTAGGCATTGAATTCTAAAATTGTCCTCTTAGTACTGCTTTTATTTATGCTCCAAAGGTTTTGGTATACTGTGTTTTTATTTTCATTCAGTTCTAATAAATTTTAAATTTCCTTTTTAATTTTTCCCTTGATTCAATTTTCATTCAGTAGTGTGTTATTTAGCTTCCATGTGTTTGTGTATTTTCCCCTATTTTTATTGTTGATATCTAGATTTATTCCTTTGTGTTCAGATAGAATACAGGATGATATTTCAATTTTTATAAATTGTGGAGACTTGCTTTGTGTCCTAATAGGTGGTCAATTTTGGAGAAAGTTCCATGAACTACTGAGAAGAAAGTGTATTTTTTGGTGTTTTAGTAGAATGTTTTGTAAATATCTGTTAGGTCCATATGATTTATGATGTTATTTAAATCCCAAGTTTTTGTATTTAGTTTTTGTCTGACTGAAATGTCTATTGGAGACAGTGGGATACTGAAGTCACCCACTATCATTGTGTTGGAGGCAATGTGTGATTGTATATCTAATAGAGTTCCTTTTATGAAGTTGGATGCCCCTGTGTGTGGTGCTTATATGTTTATATTATTGGTATATTTTCTCTTTATTGAGTATGAAGTAACCTCTGTATCTTCTGACTAGTTTTAATTTGAAATACATTTTGTCAGATATTAGACTATCTGATACCTTCTTGTTTCTTTGTTCCATTTGCTTGGAATACCTTTTTCCTTCCTTTTACCTTCAGGTGGTGTCAGGCATTCATGGTGAGGTGTGATTCTTGGAGGCAGTGTCTTTTTTAAAAATATTTTATTTATTATTTTTGTTTTATGTGTATGCGTTTATTACCTGCATGTAGATGAGTGCACCCGTGTTGTGCAGTGCCCTCAGAGAACAGAAGAGTCTGTCAGATCCCCAGGGACTGGAGTTACAGACAGTTGTTAGTTGCCATGTGGGTGCTGGGATTTGAACCCGGGTCTTCTGCAAGAGCAGCCAGTGTTCTTAACCACTGGGCCATCTCTCCAGCCCCCAGAGGCAGTGTCTTTTAACTGGGGAGATAAGACCATTAATATTGAGGGTTATCACTGAACAATGTTAATTTATTCCTCTTATGTTGGTATTGTAGTGCTGTTTTCTTAGATCTCTTTTGGTTAACGGTTTTTGGAAAATTTATTTATTCTTTCTGCCTTCTTGAGAGTGTTTAATCTTCTCTTCAGATCAAAGTTGTCTATTGAGTATTCTCTGTAGAGCTGGTTTGATGGACATAAATTTATTAAATTTCTTTTTATCATGGAAAGTTTTTCTTTCACCATCAATTACAACTGATAGTATACAGCTGGGTACAGTTGTCTGGGCTGAAATCTGTGTTCATTTCTGACTTGTAGGACTTGGGTCCAAGCCCTTTTGGCTTTCATAGTCTCCTTAGAAAAGTCAGCTCTTCTTCTGATAGGCCTGCCTTTTCGTGTGACTTGATCTTTCTCTCTCATAGCTTTATCTTTTCTTTGTTCTGTTTGTTTCATGTCTTGACTGCTATATGAAGTGTGGAGTTTCATTTCTGGTCCTGTCTTAAATATTTTACACTATTCATTCTTTTTGTTCTTTGTGATTTCACCTTTGACCTTCATATTGCTATATATTCAAGCTCACTGCTGTTTTCCTGCAGTGCTAAGTTTCTTTCTTGGGGCCACTCACATGCTAGGTGAGTGCTGTACCTCTCAACTATACCTAGGCCATGCCCATTCTCACTGATTCTTTCCTCAACCTCGTCTATACTGCTGGTGAGCCCATGAAAACATGCTTCTTTTCTGTTATCTTAGATTTCTGACATTTTCTTTTAATCATTTCTTCACAGTTTCATCTGCCTTCTAATATTATGCATTGGTTTTTGCTTGTTGTTTTATTTTTCTACTAGAACAGTTATTTTAACATAGATGCTTAAAATTCATGGTTTACAACCTCTGCCTTCCCGGAGTTGATATCTAATGGTCCTTTGCTTCAGATTGTGTTTCTTGCTGTTTTGTTTTTCTGGTTGAATTCCAGAGATGATGGTTGGATAAAGAAACTGAAGTAAATAGGTACATAGTTTGAGATTTCATGTTTATTTGGCCAGGACCTAGGATGGGCTTAGTTTGCTATTGCTACAGTTGTCTGAGGCTAAAATTTTCGCTAGCACCTATGTTTTTTATGTTGATTTCCTTAATAATTTTTTTTTGAGACAGATTCTCCCTGTAGCCCCAGCTGGCCTGGAACTCGCTGGCTGGCCTTGATCTGACAAAGATCTTCCTGCCTCTGTCCCTGGGTGCTGAGATTAAAGGTGTCTACCGCTACGCTTGACCGATTTTTTTCTTAAATTATAGTTCTTCAATAAGAATTGCTGTTCTTTCTGTTGTAATCCCTTCGTTATTGGTTATTGCAGCACTTTTAGCTGCTGGATGTCTGTTCCCGCTGAGCTCTGAATCTCTGCATGCACCTCTACCTGGGTTTTACAGCAGTAGCTTTCCTTATGACTTTAATTTTATGCTTGATTTAAGAACTGTTTACCAACTTGATCAGCTTTTTTCTTGTTCTGAAAATCGGTGTGATGACTTCCAAGCTTCAAACATGCTGGACTAGAAATGAGAAGCCTTGGGTCAGTCACTTTTTAATCTTTTGACTTCCTATTCCCTCTCTGTAAAATAAAGTAAAAATTTAAAAATGGAAAATAAATGAAATAGGATATTTCTAGGTAGCTAAACGCTTCTTAACTCTAGAATCTGGTTGATTCTGTCACCTGTGACTTTCAGAAATGACCATGCCCATTTGTGATATTTGTTGCCTTTCTACAGGCAGATCTTCAAGTGGACAAGGAGAGGCACAACTTCTTTGAGTCTTCTCTTGATTATGTCTATCAGATCCAGGAAGTTCAGGAGGCAAAGAAGTTCAATATTGTGGAGCCAGTAAGTTTTCTTGGTGAATATTCCAAAATTATTTTCGAAATGCCAAAGCTAATATGAAGAATACAGGTGAAAAATTTAAATCTTAAAGAATGTAAAGGACAGTCATCCCCAACCCCAGCAGTCTCTGTTGTCTCAGGTCCCTGGCCTAGCTATGGTCATGCTCCTCAGTACACCCACCATACTTGTAATTTGGCCGGCTCCATTGTTCTCTTTCTACCACATCATTCTCCTGGGCCTATCTCATGTCATACAGCCTTATAACTGGACCAGCTTTATCATTTCAACAAAACCTGCCCTGCCCTTGAGACTGTTCCCACATTCCCAGGTAGAGCTGGAGTCTGCAGCCTGGACATCAGCCAAGACAGACACAATCAAGTGTAAAATTAGCATGTTTTTTTGGTTACTACTGAATTAGAATCACCTCCATGCCTCCAATAAAAAAATCAACACTGACTGGTCTGCATACCAACTCAACTAGTAGCCACCCAGCATTCCCTGCCACTCAAGGCCACATGGAGTCTGTCTTAGACCCTTAGGCTGGAAGTTGCACCCAGTGATAGCTGAACTGAGAATAGCTCTCACACTCTATTTTCACATAAACACAGAGTGGTCCCTTGACTGAACACCAAGCACCACTCAGCTGCACCACAATCTGAAAAGTTGGGGTAACAGCAAACAAAGATACAAACACTCACTCAACAAAGACCACACCAGCTATCTATACCAAGAAATACCACCAATAACATAATTCAAGATGCCTAGGTCTCATAGCAAAAATACAAACAACATGAATGAACAAGACAGTATGTCTCCTGAAATTAGTATCCTCATCATAATGTTTCCTGAGAAAGACCATCTAGCTTTTGCACAAGACAATAATTTCAAAATAGAAATGATAAATATGTGAAAGGAACTCAAACTAGACATGAATACAAGATTAAATGAAGACCATAAAAATATAAACAGTTGAATGAAATAGCTACAACAATTCAATATATGAAATTACAGTTCAATAAGCAGAACAAATCTTTGAAGGAAAGCCAAACTGAAATTAAACTTGAAAAACTCATCAAGTCAGACAAAACGCTCAGAGGAAAGCCTCTCTAATACATTGGATCAAGTGAAAGAAGAATTTCAGATCTTGAAGATAAGAGAGAGAAAATGGATCACTCAGTCAAAGAAAATAATAATCTTTAAAACAACCAAGGAACAGAACATGCAGTACATCTGGGACATTATAGAAAAACCAAACCTATGAGTCACGGGTATCGAAGAAGGAGAAGCAGCCCAGGTCAAAGTCAAAGAAAATATTTTTAACAAAATCATAGATGAAAATTCCCGAACTTAAGGAAAGAGATGCCTATCAAGGTACAAGCAACATAGAGAACACCAAAGAGATAAAGCAGAACACTAAATGTGCACAATAAAGAAAAGATATTGAAAGCTGCTAGAGAGAAAGATCAAGTCATATATAAACTGACGCCTATCAGAATAATAGCTGATTATTCTATGGAGACTTTGAAAGCTAGAAGGGATTGGACTATTTACTCAAAATAATGAAATAATAAAGATGCCAGCCCAGACCACTATATCCAGCAAAGTTATGAGTTTTAAATAAAGGGAAACAAAAACTTTTCCTCATTAAGTCAGCTCAACAGAGGATAATAGAATGAATGCTTATGTCTGAAGAGATGATTAAACACATATAAGAGAGCACAGGAAATATATAAACAATTCTGGAAAAGTTAACAAAAAGAAATTTAAGAAAACTACATCACCACAACAAAATTATAGGAATTAATAAACATTGGTCAACAATAACTGTCAATATCAATGGCCTCAATTCCTTCCATAAAAAGACACAGAGTAACAAATTGGATTAGAAAACAGGATCCATAAATTTGCTGCCTCCACAATGCACACCGCACCATCAGTGATAGCCACCACCTTAGAGTAAAAGGGAGGAGAAAGTTATTCTAAGCAAATGGAACAAAGAAACAAGCAGGGATAAGTATTCTAATATCTGACTAAATAGACTTCAAACCAGTTGGAAGAGACTGGGAAGGGCATTTCATACTGATTAATGAAAAATCCACCAAGGGGATCCTACGCTCCTATACATAGGCCCAATACAGATAGGCACCTGGTTTCATAAAAGAAGCACTATTAGATCTAAAATCACAGAATGACCCAAACACAGTGATAGTGGCTGATATTAATGCTTTAGTCTCATCAATAGACAAGTCATCGAGAAAAAGTCTAAATAGAGAAACCCTGGAGTCAGATGACATCATAAATCAAATGGACCTGACAGATATTTATAGAACATTCCACCCAAACACTAAAGAATACACTTTCTTCATTTCTACTAAAATCAGGAACAAGACAAAATGTTCACTCTTTTCATTCCTGTTTACTGTAGTGCTTGAAGGTTTAGATAGAGCAATAAGACAAGTGAAGGATATAAAGTGGGTATAAATTAGACAGGAAGAAATCAAAGTAACCTTATTTTCAGATGATATGATTCTGTACATAAAAGACCGTAAAGACTCCACCAGAAAACTCCTAGAGCTGATAAACACATTCAGCAAAGCAGCAGGATACAGAATTAACACACAGAAATCAGTAGTCTTCCTTTATACCAATAACAAGCATACTGAGAAAGAAACCAAGGAATCAATTCCATTCATGGTAGCCTCATCAAATTAAAATATCTTGGACTAAATCCAACCAACAAAGTGAAAAAATGTATAATAAAAATTTTGAGACCTTGAACAAAGAAATTGAAAAAGATATCAGAAGATGGAAGACCTCACATGCTCATGACTCAGTAATATTGTGAAAAATGGTGATCTTACCCAAGATAATCTACAGATTCAATAAAATCCCCTTTAAAATTCTAATACAATTCTTCAGAAAAATTGAAAAAAATAAGCAACCCTTAATAATATATGAAGAGGTCAAGGCATCACCATCCCTGATTTCAAATTTTACTACAGAGTTATAATGATAAAAAGCAGTGTGGCACTGGCATAAAAATAGACACATTGATCGATGAAGTAGAATTTTGGATCCAAATTGAATCCACACACTTATAGTCCCCTGAGTTTTGACAAACAAGCTAAAAATACCTATTGGAAAAAAACATAACATGTTCATCAAGTGGTGATGAAAGAACTCGATAGCCACATGTAGCAGAATGAAACTACATCCCTATCTCACTCCTTGCACAAAATTCAAGTCCAAATGGATCAAGGATCTCAACTTTAGACCTGATACCTTGAATTTGATAGAGGAGATGTTAGGAAATACAATGAAACTTATAGGCAAAGGAAAGGATTGTCTGAGCAGGAACCCAATAGCACAGTCAACTGACTTATTTGACCTCATGAAACTAAAATGCTTCCATAAAACAAGGAATACCATCATATGAGTGAAGACACAACCTACAGAACTGGCAACAATCTTTACCAGCTTTACATCTGAAAAACACTTAATATCTAGAATATACAAGTAACTTAATAAACCTAAGCATCTAAAACAAATGATGAAAAATGCTGACAAGGATGTGGGAAAAGGGGAACTTGTACTCACTGCTGGTGGGAGTGCAAACTGGTGTAGCCACTATGGAAATCAGTGTGGAGAGTCCTCAAAAATCTAAAAATGAATTAACCACATGACCCAGTCATAGTGCTCTTGGACATATACACAAAGGACTCTATATCCTTCTACAGAGACGCCAGTTCATGAATTTTCATTGCTGCTCTATTCACAATAGCCAGGAAATGAAAAAAAGAAAGGTGTCCATCAGCTGATTAATGGAAAACAAAAGTATGACATATTTACCAATGGAGTATTATTTTGTTAAGAAAAATGAAATTAGAAATTCACAAGTAAATGGATGGAATTGGAAAAAAATCATCTTGAGTGAGGTGACCCAGACCCAGAGAGACAAACATTGTATGTTCTCTCTCAAAATAAGATGTCCCCCAGTTAAAGTACCCCAAATTTCTCCTTGGGATAGATAGTAATGAAAAATTTCCCAACTCAAAAAAGCCCATGGCCAGATGTATATAGTGAAGAATTCTACCAAACCTTCAAAGAAGACTAGTATCAGTACCCTTCCAATTATTTTGTAAAATGGGTCGTGAAGGAACACTCCCAAATTCATTCTGTGAAGCCAGCATTACTCTAATACCAAACCCAGACAAAGGCCCAACTACTAAAGAAAATTATAGATCAATCTCTCTGATGAACATAGATGCAAGAAATCTCAATAAAATACTTGCAAACTGAATGAAAGAACACATCAAAAAGAAAAAATTATCCACCATGATCAAGTTGGCTTCATCCCAGTGATGCACGTTAGGGCTCAACACATACAAATTAGTAAATGTAATCCACCATATAAGCAGACTCATGACAGAAACCACATGATTATCTCATTAGATGCAGAACCGGTCTTTGACAAAATCCAGCATCCATTCATAATAAAAGTCACGGAGAACCTAGGGATATGGTGGATACAGCTCAACATAATATAGCCAATATACTACAAGCCCACAGCCAATATCATACTAAATGTGAAAAAAACTGAAAGCGTTCTCATTAAAATCAGGAACAAGACAAAGATGTCCACTCTCTCTATTCCTGATCAATACAGCACTTGAAGTCTTATAGAGCAGTAAGACAAATGAAGGAGATGAAAGGATACAAATAGGAAAGCCAGAGGTCAAAGTATCTTTATTTGCAGCTGATATAATTCTATTTTTAAAAACCCCGAAGACTATCAGGAACTCCTAGAGCTAATAAATACATTCAGCAATGTAGCAGTATGTAAAATTAACACCCCCCCCAAATCAGTAGCCTTCCTATATACCAATAACAAACATACCAAGAAAGAAGTCCTGGAAATCATCCTGTTCATAATAGCCTCAAAATTCATAAAATATCTTCAAACAAATCTAACAAATGAAGTGAAGGGTTTTTATAACAGAAAACTTTAATACATTGAAGAAAGAAATTTAAGTTAATACCAGAAGGTTGAAAGACCTCCCATGATCATTGATTGGTAGAATTAATATTGTGAAAATGGCCATCCTATCAAAAGCATTCTACAAATTCAATGCAATACCCATTAAAATTCCAACAAAATTCTTCACAGAAATTGAAAAAAATAATTTCAAATTTCATATGGAAACACAAAAACCCTCAGGACAGCCAAAATAATCCTGAAGAGTAAAAGAACTGCTGGAGTCATTACCATCCCTGATCTCAAATTATACTACAGAGATATTGTAATAAAAACGGCATAGTATTGGCATAAAAACAGACACATCGCTAAGTTGAATAGAATTGAGGACCCAGATTTAAATTCATGCATTTACAGTTACTTGATTTTTGATAAGGGAGCCACAAATACACACTGGAGAAAAAGCAGCATGTTCAAGAAATGCTGCTGGTCAAACTGGATAGCAGCATATGGAAGAATGAAACTAGATCTGTATGTCTCACCATGCACAAAACACAACTCCAAGTGGATCAAGGACCTCAGTATAGGACCTGATACCCTGATACCCAGATAGAGAAGAAAGCAGGGAATACATTGGAACTTATAGACACAGTAAAGAACTTTTTGAACAGGACTCCTATACTGTAAACATTAAGTCCAAAAATTGCCAGATGGCACCATACAAAACTAAAAAGCTATTGTACATCAAAGGACACCCTCAATCAAGTGAAGAGACAGACTGGGAAAAAAATCTTTACCAGCTATATCTCTGGCAGAGGGTTGGTATCTAGAATATACAAATAATAATAATAATAAAAACATTTAAAAAATCCCAATTTAAAAATGGGGCAAGGAGCTGAGCAGGGATTTCTCTAAAGATGAAGCACAAATAACTGAGAAATACTTAAAAAGATGCTCAATGTCTTTAGTCATCAGGGAAACACAGATTAAAACTACTTTGGTTAAGATCCAAAAAACAAAAGTGACAAATGCTGACGAGGATGTGGAGAAAGGGGAAATCTCATGCACTGCAAAACCAAGTAAATCAGTGTGCAAACCAAAGAAATCAGTGTGGAGATTCCTCAGAAAGCTCAAAATTGGTCTACAGTATTATCCAGCCATACCACTCTTGTGACATGACATAAACTTGTAATCCTAGCACCTAGGGAGCTGAGGCAGGACAATTATGAGTTTTGGGTCTGCTTGGAATACAACGTTAAAATCTTTCTCAGCATCATTTGGAGAAGTGATAGACATTTCAAAATAATAGAGGATGCTCTTGTTGGTTTCATTCCTGATGAGCAAGGAGAATCCAAGGGGCAAAGCGTCGAACCTCACTGAAAAATCAAAGGAAGAAGATGAATGCCAAATGTCTAGTCAACCATGCACATCTTTGGCAAAGGTCCCAGCAAAGAAGACAAAACAAAAAAAGTCAGTGAAAGATAACAAAGATACTAATCCAAAAAAGAAAGCACCAAGATGCTGAGACTCAAAAACTTCCTCAAGACAGTTCCTCCCTTGCCTACCAAACTGCCTCCAGTCAAGGAGATTCACCCGGATATTTTGTGATATTGGTGCCAGAAGTTAGAGCTGAACAGCAAAGGCCAGAAATTAGATGCATACAAACGACTTTGAAAACATGCAGACCAAAAGCTCTATGTGAATAATATTCCTGAGACATCAAGAGGCCAGGGTGAAGACAATGCAAAAAAAAATCCCTGAAGATGGAAAAGGAGGAAATGCTGCGTTCCGGGAGGACTACTCCCTCTGAGGTGGTCCTTGCCATGGAGGAGCATTTGCCTGCCTTTAGTGAGTCCCCTGTTCTCTATGAAGAAGTCAGTACCGCTGTAGTGACCACCTCTACCCCTGAGGCAATGTTCACCTCTTGGGCCAGAATTGCAGCCAGTGCTGAGAGGATGGAGGCAGTGAAGCCCTCAGAGCCACCAGAGCCTATGGGGACATGTGGTGCCTGCCTCATGGGAGAGTCTCTCTATAGACTCCAGTGGTTGGGTTTTGCTGCAGTTCCATGCTGGGCAAGCCTGAGTACCAGAAAAGAAAGGCAGAGTAGGTGCACTCTTCCTGCTTCCTGCCTGCACATTCCCACCCCGCACCTGGAGCACAACATGCTGTGCCCCAGATGTGTTCACAGGAACAAGGCCTTAATTAAGAGCCTCCAGTGAGATTGGAGTACCAAGATAAAGGAACCTTTGTGAGGTTTGGGCTACTTTTCTGATGTCACCTGCTCATGTGGAGTGGCCTATGGTACTGCAGCCATGGCTGAGACTGATGGGGGCTCTGTCTGTGCCCTCTGAGATGCCCACCTCATCCAGAAACTATTGGACATTTTTCACTAGTCATAGAGGGGCAAGCAGCTTCAGAAGAGCCAGTGAGGCTACTGAAAACTTCAACAGTAACATCTTTGGGTTCATTGTGATGGCTCTGGACAGTGCAGAAGTATCCATTCCACCCCTGCCCCCATTGTGTGAAGACAAGAAAGTGTTCTATGTGTTTTGCTCCAAGAAGGCCCTGGGGCAGGGGTATGAGGTCTCCAGATCTGACAGTTGTTTATTCTGTCACCAGCACAGAAAGTTCACAACCATCGAAGCAGTCTATTTCAAGGTTTAGTCTACACCTCTGGCCTCTGCATGTCCTCCTCCCTGACCCCCTGAGTTGTGTAATATACTGTCTGTGTCAGTGTGGAGTGCTTGCGTTTGTATTCTGTTGTTTCAGAATATTATATCAAATCTAAAAAATATAATAGGGAACATAAAGTTGAGGGGGGAGTAATGTTGGGGTGGAGATGAGGCAGGTAGTATGAATATAATAAAGATAAACAATATGAAATTCTCAATAAAAATAAAGAAAAATAAATACATTTTGGAGGGCTGAGGATATAGTTCGGTATTAGGATTCTTGCTTAGCATGTGCAAGCCCCTGTTTCTATATCTAGAACTTAAAAATGATATTTTGGAGGTAAAAGTAGAAATTTCTTATGAATTGGACTGAAGTGTGTGTAAAGAGAAATCAGGAGTGATTCTTTAGTTTCCTATTTGAATGACTGATGGGTGATAATTCTGTTTCCTGAGATAAAGAAGTCTGAGAGAGAACCAGAGATTATTATGAATATAAGTGTGAGTTTATTCCCCATATCTCCACCGCATGTATGTCAAAAATGTACATGTATATGTGAATTATATAGTTTTATATGTACTTAGGTTTATAGCTTGTTTATATCTGGTATATGCATGTGCATTTATATGCACTAACCTATTTGTTTTCTACAACAAATGGAGCAATTTTTCTTCTACCTATTTTTCTTTACCAACATCGAACATTTATTTGAAATATTTATAATTTGGTAGATGAACGTTATATTTACTCTTAGTTTTGTTAATATATTTGGTTTTTAATAGGGTTGAATTCTTTAAAAATTAAATTCATTGTTTTTATTGGAAGGGTGCATGTGTGGATGTCAGAGGGCAACTCTGGAGTCAGTTCTCTCCATCTTTATGTGGGTTCTGAGGATTGAACTCAGATTGCCAGACTTTCTTAGTAAGCACCTTTACCTGCTGAGGTACCTTGTTTGCCCTGGGTTGAATGTTTAGAACATTAAAAAACATACTGTTCACCATTTGTGTTCCATCTTCTGCAAGATGGTCTACTGTATGCCAGTCCTGAGAATATATAGGTTTAGTGTCCCTTATTCAAAAGATTTGGAACAAGAAGTGATTTGAATTTTGGAATTTTTAAAATTTTGGAATATTTTCTTACATATAGTGGAATATTTTGGGGGTGAGTGCCAAGTTTAAATACAAAAGACATTTGTATTTCATATATGCCTCATATACATATTTTAAAAATAATTTTATGCAATATTTTTAGTGTGCCTGCATTTTATTCCCAGGGTACCTAGACATGTCACATGAGGTGAGGTAAAGGTTTCCAGTTGTGGTATTGCATCTGTGCTTAAATTTTCAGATTTTAGAATCAGATCTTTGGATGAGAGCTGTTCTGTCTGTCTAGAGAAAAAGATGCAGTCCATTCCTGTAGTATCTAAATTCTGAGTGGCTTTCTATAGGATCTAAAAAGGACTATGTGAATATATCAGTTATTTGCTTTCTGAAACTGCATATGGGTTAAATATTGAGCCTGATATGAGAATAGTTACGTGTATATCAGTTTTTGATTGTATTACCACTCTTAACAGTGTATAGAGGAAACATTTGAGATTTTTTCACTGACTTTGTGGTTTCTGTGTTTGATTAATAAGGAAATACTGGTGATAAATTAAGTTTTAAATGTAAATTTTGCTTGTTTCTCTTAGGTCTTGGCTTTTCTTCATAGCCTCTTCATTTCCAACAGCTTGACTGTGGAACTCACACAGGACTTCCTCCCATACAAACAGCAGCTCCAGCTCAGTTTACAGAATGTGAGTTGCATGTGGATTTCTTTACCTGTCTTTCCAATCAAATTTCTGCCTCAGTAGCCTTAACTTTGGAATTACAGGTAATTGCATTACAGCCTATTTGTCAGGGAAATGTGCTGTAGAGTGCAAACATTTTAGTATACTGGAGTGTTGATCTTTGTTTCAACGTTTCCCTGTCTTCGAGGCTGCTTGCTGTTCAAACCTATCCTCCTACCCATGAATACCTTCATCTAGCCAGTATTTATCTTATTTTACTTTATTTTATTTTTAAATTTATTATATATATTTTTTTATTTATTATTTTTATTTTATGTATATTTATTGCCTGAATGTATGTGAGTACACCTGTTTCATGCAATGCTGTGGAGGTCAGAAGAGGGCATCGGATTCCCCTGGAACTGGAGTTAAGGACAGTTCGCGGCAGCCATGTGGGTGCTGGGAATTGAACCTAGATCCTTTGCAAGAGCAGTCAGTGCTCTTAACCGCTGAGCCATCTCTGCAGCCACATCTTATTTTATCTTTAATATAAGTAATATTTTATTGACTTTTAGAAAATTTTATACAATGTATTTTGATCATGCTCTGATCTGCCATCTCCTCTCAGATCCACCCTGACTTATTATCCCCACAACTTCATGCCCTATTATTATTTATTATTTTTAAAAAGGCCTATTGACTAATTTATGTTCCCCAAATGCTCTTGGATGTGGGCTCATACCCTGGAACCTGGTCAACCTTCCTAACGTCATATCCTTAAAGAAGACTGACTCCCTTACCCAGCAGGTATCAATTGCCAACAGTTCCCCAGCTAGCATTGAGATTTCTTGCCCACCTCCCCACATCAATGCTGGGATTTAGTCTGGATTGAGCTTGTGTAGGTCCTGTACATGCTGTCACAATTGCTGTGAGTTCATAAGGGTAACTTCCCTACTGTCTGGAAAACCCTGTTTCCCTTGTAGTTGTCTATCACTTTTGGCTCTTACAGTCTTTCTGCTCCTTTTTCTGCAATGATTCCCGAGCCTTGGGAGGAAGAGATGTGACATAGATGTCTCACTTAGAGCCAAACACTCCACAGTATCATTATTTTCTGCACATTGAACAGTTGTGGATCTTTGTGCTAATCACCATATGCTGCAAGTACAAGCTCTTCTGGTGAGAACTGAGCGATGCTTTAATCTGTGGGTATAACAATAAGTCATTAGGAGTAGGTTTAATACTTTGCCCATTTCACACAATAATAGTAGCTTTCTAACTTCCATAGTGCTAGAAGGTGTTATGTATGCTAGCAGAAGAGAAAAGTAATCATCAGTCTTGCCCAGTTCTGAACTCTTCAAGCTATAATAACCACTGAACTGGCAAGATATGCCTATTGGTGCAAGAGTGGTACCAATGTTATGAGAGTAACCAAACACTTTATGATTGGATTTAAGACCCACTTCTCAAGATGGAGCCCGTACCTGGCACTGTTTCCTGGGCCAAGAACTGTGGTTAGGCAGGTCCTAGGTCATAGGGAAGATCCTACTTCTTAAGTGTTGATATTTTGCTATGTCTCTCCCAGATTAGAATCCAGCTGCAGGCTTATTTAAGTATAGAACCTAAGCTAATTACCTAAGACAGTTAAGACAGTCATTGTGAGTTTTATTACTATGAGCATCTTCATTTTCTTCCTTCTCTCATTAGTAGACGTAAACAAATCAATTTTAAGGACTTCTCTACCTTCTTTTTTATGCTCATTCTTATAAATGAACATAAGCACAGTGTTTTTATATTGGAACATATATATTGTTACATATATTCTTTTGCTCATTTGCTTATTTAACCCACATTTGATGAGTATATATGAGTACCATGAAAATACGTTTTGTATAAAGCAGTGTGAAAGACTCTGGGTATACCATAATGAAGCATTAACGTCTTTCTGTCTTGAAGGAGCATGCAGTTTATTTGAGGAGAGACATAAATACAGATATATCATAATCCCTTATGATAACTGTTAGAGTCAATCCAACATTTTGAAATATTTTATTTACTTTTTAAAAATTTTATGTGTGTGAGTGCATTGCCTATATGTATGTAAGTGCAAAGCCCATGAAGGTCAGAAGAGGGCGTCAGATCCCCCGGAGCCAGAGTCATGGACTGTTCTTAGCCACCATGTGTGTGCTGGGACCTGAATCCAGGTCCTGTGCGAGAACAGGCAGTGCTCTTAAATGCTGTACCATCTCTCCAGCCCCATAAACCAGCATTTTTTAGAGCAACAGAGAGAATGGAACAGTTGCTTGTCTGGTAGAATCAAACAAGGTCTGGTGGCATTGCCTGGGTGTTACAGTGCTTGGTATTCAAAGATGTTGTCTAATTTAAAAATCCTGATAAGCTGCTTGTTTTCGGGGATTGTAATTTATAGTTTTTCCTACTTTTTCTTTCTGCATTCACTCCTTCCTTTTGGGTCGTCTCCTTTACCCAAATGAGAGAGTCCCTGTTTTCTGCCTATTTACAAAACCTTCCTACAGTCAAGTTAATCACTGGAGCCCTATTCCATGAGTAACTTGACAAAAGTGAGCTTACTATCAAACCTCTGCATATATACTCATGACCGACACATTGTCAGTATTGTTGACAGTCGGGGCCAAACAGTAAGACAACAAATATCTTCTTCACTGACATCATGAAGTTTCCATGGGGACCGTTCTCCACAATTGTCCTTAAAGTAAAGGTCAGTGTAATCTTAGAATGTTAAAGTTCTTTATTTACTGGAAACTTGTATTAATCTCACTGGGGAAAAAAACTCTCTGCTGTGACCTTTTGAGTATATTGATATCTTTATTTTTGTTTCCTTTCTAGTGTATAGTGCCATTAAACTCTATAATTATTTCCTTGTCATTCCACTATTTAGCATTTTTGCTGTTTTAGCACTTGCTGTGAGCAGAGAAATCACTGTAGTATTTCTGTGATTGGTAAATAACTTATTCCTGATTATGGTAATGATGGTAATGATTATAATGATTTCTTGACAGACAAGAAATCATTTCTCCAGTACCCGGGAAGAGATGGAAGAACTTAAGAAAAGGATGAAAGAAGCTCCTCAGACCTGCAAACTTCCGGGACAGCCAACCATTGAAGGCTATCTCTACACACAAGAGAAATGTGTGTAGACAGCCACTGGGTTCCAGGGGTTCCAGGCTTGACACTTCACCTTTCTGAACTCAGATAATCCTTGTTGTTGGTAGATTCCAGCTAGCTACAACTCCTTTGAGGGCAGGGTAGGATTAGCAAAAGTATAAAAGAAGGAAACTTGAGGGAAATTTAAAAGTGACCTTATTAAGTCTCTAGAGTAGTTAGATCTAAATTTTCTCTGAAATTCAAAAATGCGGAATATTAATTATGTACTGGTGAACTTTGGGGCAAAAAAGTGGTAGGGTATGCTTAACCAGATAGGACTTAACATGTATAACAGAATGTATGAAATCCAGTGGGGTTATGGGGGGCAGGCAGGAGGGAGGGGGTCTAAGTTTGATTAACATCTAATGTATGAAATGCACAAAAACTCAATAAAATATACATTGTTAAAAAGAAGGTAGGGTAAAGGAGGCAGAAAAATCATATTTATCATACCTACCATGTTCAGTGCTTTGAAAACCTTATGCCATTTAATCTTCTACCTAATTCTCATTTTACACTTGAGAACACTGAGGCTCAGACCAGACCTCAGATTAAGTTCAGGTGTGCTATTCCAAACCCAAAGTAAGCAATAGGCTTGGGGATCTGCCTGAAATATAGGAGGCCGTGGGTTCATGTCTGTGACTGGAGAGAAAAAAAGAAAAGCAATCAGTAAATAGCTTCTATTTTAGGGAGGCGAAGAATTCTGCTAACTCACTTTTGCCTGTCTTTGTAGGGGCTTTGGGGATATCCTGGGTGAAATACTACTGCCGCTATGAGAAAGAGACCAAGACACTCACCATGATGCCCATGGAGCAGAAACCAGGTGCTAAGCAGGTTCGTTCTTATGAGTGCTACTTTTTTGAGATTGCATCTCAGAAAAGAATAAATGTTGACTTTATCAAATAATCAACTCCATCATTCTCATACAAAAGCCATGATTTTATGTGCTCTTTTTGGCCTAAGTTTGCTTGGGCCTCAACCAATTCAGGCCCATCATTGCTTTTCTTTTGGTTTTTGAGAAAAGAGCCTTGCTCTGTGACCTGGGCTAGCTGGAACTCACTGTGGAGCTCAGGCTTACCTTGATCTCACAGCAAGTCTCCTGCCTTGGCATCTTGAATTCTTGGATTACAGGTGTGTACTACCATAGCCAGCTCCTTCTATTAGGCCCTATGAAGATGCTTTTAAGATTCAGCTTGTTTTTTATTACATTTTGGTGTTCATTTTGCAAAGAAAATAGTCAAATGTGGATAATTATTTTAAGTAATGAGTTTTAAACATATGAATTAATTTCCAAAATGTCTTTATTAAACACAGATACTTGGTGCCTTATGTTACAACCACCTATACCCACATTAAAATATCTTTAAGCTGTCTTCGAGCTTGCTGTGTCATTAAAGATGACCTTGAGCTTCTGATCCTCCTGCCTCTATGGCCTGAGTCCTATGGATTACAAGTATGTGTCACCATGCCTGGTTCTTGCAGAGCTAAGGATGAAACCCTGGACTTGGTGTGTGCTACTTCAAACTGAGCTACTTTCCCAGTATCTATTTCTTTTACTTATTTTGCACAAATTATTTTACAGAGTCTGGAAATTAACTTTCTTCTCATAAATAGTAATATCTCTTAGACTTTTTCCTTTCTGCTCAAAAGAGCATTTTTCCAAGGACAAACACAGCAGACACCACTTTCTTACACTTATACTAGCGCAAGTCTTCCCTTAGTTTGCCTTCCCTTCTTCCCTTTTCATTGAGTGGCTGCTTGCAAAACTGCAGTCATGTCAGTCTAAGCAATTGTAATGTGGAATCCTTAATGGGATGGAAAGAGGAACTTGGTTCCCCATTTGCAAGGTATTGATTGGGTAGAAGCAGTTATTTGAATTTATCCAAATTGTATTTGGAAATAATTTCTTCTTTTCAGTCCTCTGACTGAGTTCCTAGTAGTAGTTCATGTTTCTGAAATATAAATAATACAAATAAATGATATTGTGATAATAATAATAGTAGCACTTATAAAAACTCCTTTTTCCCAAATGCCAGTTGTTTGCTCAGCACTGAGCTAGACCATGTGCCTTATTTCATCTCCCTGAAGCACCGTAGAATAGATATCATAAACTCAATTTGGAGAGAGATTGGCTCTTTTTCTTGCTGGGACAGTTACCAGTGTCCCCTAGTAGCTCAAACTGTAAAATCTCATTTGTGTTATAATACTCAGTTTACTGGTTACCTAGAGTTTCATCCTTTATCCTTTCCTGTTAGAAATTACAAAAAGACAGAGTGCTGGATTTGAGTCTAATGAACTGGGTTTATGGAACCAGTAAGATGGCTCACCAGGTAAAGGAGCTTGCTGCTGAGTCTAACAGTCTGAGTTCAAACTCTTAAGTTGCCCTCTGACTGCCACACCTGTTGCTGTAGCATGTTTTACCCGCCACATACACACATACAAAATAAAGTACAATCGAATGAAGGACTGGGTTGAAATCCTCATTCCATGATATACTTGTTTTTTGGTCTTGAGTAAATTATTTAATGTTACTCAGGCCCAACTTCCTTCTCAGAAAAGTGAAAAGGATGATGATTGAGTCAATAAATTTTTACTGAGACCTACTTACTCTGGAACAGAGATATAAAGATGAATAAGACAACATCCTTGAGAATTTCTTAGTCAAGCAAGGGAATCAGACATGAAAACAGGACGTTTTCATATTAGGTACAAAGCATACATTAGGTAATACGTGGGGTTGAGGGAAAAGTTGTGTGCATTACAAAACAGGTAGCAGTCTAACCAGACCAAGAGCACTGAGTCAATTGGGTGGAGTGAACTGTATATGCAAAACCATGGAGTCATTAAAGAGCACGGTTTGTGTGTATGAAGTATTTTGCACCAGTGGGACATAAAACATTTAGTGGTCGCTGGAGATGGGGTTGGGACAGTGGGTGGGGCTACTGTACTGATGATGCTGAATGGGGCAAAAGTCTAAAGAAGGAAGGTGACTACATGGCTCTCTCATTCACCTTGAAAGACATCCCAAGTGTTGAGATAAGAAAGGCGTATTAAAGATTAATACAGGGTTGAGTTTTTATAGCAGAATAGCAAAAGATTTGTCTCAGAGGCCAAATATGCAATGAGAGGGAAGCACCAGATAGCCACAAATATCATAAGCTAGACTTATTTATATATTTATTATAATTTTATGTGACTCTTTTAAATTTTGAGACAGTATTTCACTGTGTAATCCAGGCTGGCCTCAGACTTGTTAACTTCTTCACTCAAGTTCTGAGTGTTGGAATTACAAGTGTACCTATACCCCTATGCTTGAACCTGGTTTAAATCTGTTTACTTTTTGGCATTGAATAAACTGGCATTTGGTCATACTATTGATTTGGATGATATAGTTTCTAGCTACACACCTGGAGCTTAAGTAGTGTTTCGGAATTTGAGACAGTAGGCCAATCATGCTATTGTTATTTAAGAAATTGTGAAGTTACCACTCAGAAGGAAAATGGATTTACCATGGTGACATAGCTAGTAAATGGCATAATTAAAACAACAGATTTTAAGCTTCTTAGTTTAGTACTACTTGGACTTTACCAACTTTAGTGACATTAAGCCATTTTTACCTCTCTGAAATTCACTTCTGTCTAAGGGTTAGAGTGAGGAAAGTTTGGTTTAAAAATGTTACAGATAGCCGGGTGTGATGGTACACGCCTTTAATCTCAGTGCTCTGGAGGCAGAGGCAGGTGTATCTCTGTAAGATTGAGACAAGTGTGATCTACATAATGAGTTTCAGACCAGGTGGGGCTAAAGGGAGACTGTGTTTCAAAAAAACTACAGCTCATAGTACATTACCAAGTAATAAAAGCACCTTGCATAATATGTGGCTCATTGTAAATGTTAAATAAATGCAATATCTCTTTCTGGTGCCACAGTGTCTTTGTTTCAATCATATGGGAGAGACAGACAATGGGAAAGCAGGCACTTTTTCTGTGACCACCCTGGGCTATGGTGGATTTATTCCCCACAGGACTATGATGAGATACAATATCCTACATGTATCAAATACCAAATGACTATTTCCCCCACTTTTGTCCTATTTTTGGAGACTGCTTTTGTCATTTTTGTCATCCTCCAGAGTCTGAAGGTGGAGTCCACAAAAGCCTGCCTTTTTGCCTTTCCACCTTTTTAAAAAATTTTATTTATTATGTTTATTTTATGTGTATTCATGCATTGCCTGCATGTAGGTAAGTGCACCCGTGTTGTGCAATACCCGTGGAGGACAGAAGAAGCTGCCTGATCCCCTGGAACTGGAGTTACGGACAGTTGTTAGCTGCCATGTGCGTGCTGGGATTCGAACCTGGGTCTTCTGCAAGAACAACCAGTGTCTTTAACCACTGAGCCATCTCTCCAGCCCCCTGGCTTCCCACCTTTATCTGCCACTTTAATGAAGGCCTCTCTGTCTCTTTCTCTCTCATTGTTTATAGAAACAGACTCTTGCTACGTAGCCCCTGACTAGCCTGAAACTCACTATGTAGGTCACTGTGGCCTCAAACTTACAATGATCCTCCTGCCCTTGCCTCCCAAGTGCTGGAATTATAGGCATGCACTGCCACAGCCAGTTGGAAGCTTCTGCACACAGCTTCTCTCAGACATTCTAAGGGCAGTTTCAGATTGCCATTTACACAGTTGTAGTTTCGCTACCCAGAGGCATCATGAAAATTTTATTATGTATGCTTAATGCCATTGGAGCAGTCCATTTCTCCTGTGCTGCCTTAGGTGATGTGTATTGAGCTTTCTGTCGAATCTGCCATGCTTGGGAAGGGTACTGGTATATTCTAGGCATATTCTCCTGGTCCTGGTCATTGATGCTTGGAACAGAGAGAAACCACCTGTCACCTTACTGCAAGTACTGTTTGAAGGACCAAGGTTCTCACATTGCTCCTGATGTCTTGGTAGACAGTGTCCAAGTGAGGCTGAGAAGACTGCAGGAGACAGAAACGTCTGTGCATTAAAATAATCACCTGTTGTTACTTCTTTCATATCAGGGACCCTTGGACTTAACTTTGAAGTACTGCGTAAGAAGGAAGACAGAGTCTATTGACAAGAGGTTCTGTTTTGACATAGAAACTATTGAAAGGTAAGTTGTGACCCTGTGAATTGACAGTTTCCTTATGGCAGATTCGGAGCCTGGGTGGGGCTTTTGTTTTCCTCTCTCATTGTTTGTTGAATGAGAATGAGCAAACCTATGTAGGTCAGCGTTGTCCTGGCCCATCAGTCTGCCCTTCACCAGGGTCCCTGTTGGACTTGGCCCAAAGTTGATTTTTTTTCTGTGCATGGTTCAATCACATTTGTCTCACTTGCTCTGGGCAGAGTAATTCTCTCCTAGGATTTAATTTGCTGTCATGTATGCTGAAACTTTTTTTCACAATGCTGCAGAACTGACAGTCTAACAACCATTAACCATGAATTTATTTTTAAAGCATCTCTTAGTATAACATAAAAGAACAAGTGGATTGACAAACTTTTTTTTCCTATTTTTAAGGAAAGCAGACATAAAGGTATTATTGGGGAGTTTTCCCCCACTCGATATAAAATGATGCAAATTTTCCTACTTTGAAAATATTTATGTGATATGAAATACTTCATTAAACAAAATATTAGAGCTAGTGCTTGCAAATTTGGGCCTTTGTTGTGCTGTTTTTCTCCAATGCGTTCTTTTTCTCCCCCAGAACCTAAACAGTTTAAGTGGGGGAGAACTTGACCTTTATTCTTTAAAATCAGATAATTTAGCATTATTTTGGAGAAGGGCATGATTTCTGGTTGAGAGGTTGATGCAAAAGTCAGTGAAAAATTGTGCTTTCCTATTTTATTTTAATCTGTTATTTCTACATATCAGGCACTGAGTGATAAATTAAAATTTAGTAAAGTGGTCAGATTGCTAGAAAGGAACATAAAGGATAAAGTATAATATAGAAAAAGTCATTAGTGACTAGGATAAAAAAAGATTAGATAGACTAAGACATTAAGGCATTTTCCTATCTAAGAATGCATAACTATTAGCCTATTCCTCCATTTAAATTGGGGATATTATTACTGGACCCTCATAATTTTGCTTTGTGGATTTATGTGAATTCTTTGTTAAATGTGCATGATTCTAATCAAAAGGATTGCAATAATAAACATTGTTACCAATAACCATGCGACTCATTTTTTCTGATAGCATCAGGCCCTGTAGGAAAAGGGGAAAATGATCATGGGCTCTGACTTCCCTATATGAACTTTTAGCATTTCTGGTTCCACAGCAGCAAGGTACTTAAGAGTGATTAAAACTTCCACATCTGATTCTTATCTTAGCTTAAATTTGCATCTAGTTGTAAATAATATCTCCAACTCAGAGCAGTTGCAAACAGTTTGGCTCTGAGATGAGTGATGGGGATTGCTTTATTTTGATATTTCTTGCAGAATGTGCTATCATCATGGTAGGTAGTAAATTTGGTAGTTTGTTTTGTTTTGTTTTTCTATTTTTCTTCTCCAGAATTCTGAGGAATTTTGAGAATAGAACACAGGAACTAAAGTTATGATTTTCCTGTGATTTTAGTTACTGTATTTTGTGTACTGTAAAAACCATTATGTCACTGGGGCTGGAGATATGGCTCAGCAGTTAAGAGCACTGGCTGCTCTTCCACAGGACTCAGGTTCCATTCTCAGAATCCACATAGTGCCTAATGCCTTCCTTAAGTCCAGTTCTGGAGGATCTGAAGTCCTCTTTTGATGTCCATGGGGCATTGAATGACACAGGTGCAGTTGCATACACGCAGGCAATACACTCATGCACATAAATTAAACTTTTGCTCAACCATAGATAATCACATAAGTGCTTAGCCAGAGCTGAAACCCTGCTTTGTAGGTCCCTACAGCAAGCTCCTTTGCTATTTCATTGTTTTGTTAATTCATTATCCAAAAAAGAGCAAGATACTACAGAATAGAGAAGTTGTAGAATAATGACCAGATGCTGACACACCTCTGCATGTGGCACATTGTGACTTATGTGACACCTCTTTTCCTAGCTAACCCATTTGATCTAAGGCAAAGTCAGCCTTCCCAGCAGGCATCTCACGCTTGTACTCATGTTCTCTGGAGTAACTAGCAAAGGTCTCTTAATCCATTTTTTCCTAATTTAGGAAGAGAGGTAACATTAAAAAAAATTAATGCTTCTACTAGTATTTGATATTATGGGCTCAAATCACACTGAGTTTGAAGAGTCTTAATAACAGCAGCAAGTGCTGTCACTTGCCCAGTACCACCAGCATGCCAGGTCCTGTTCTTAAAGGGCTCTTTAAGTGTATGATTTTCTTCAGTCTTCACTAGAGTTCATAGAGTAAGGGTTCCTATTACCTTTCACATTCACAAAGTGAGATGAGGAGGCAGAGAGTGTTAACCAACTTCAGTTACATGGGTACTAAATGGTAGATCCAGGGTTAAAGTCCAGGTGTTTGAATCTCTAGCCACCTTCTTAACCACTACACATTACTGAGTGTGTTTCATACATTCACTGTTGGTTCCAGGTGGGCAAGTGGGACTTCAAGGAGGGCAAGTAATTTGTTTCATGTCATAAAGATACTCAGTGGAGGAGTCTGGTCTAGAACTTAAATGTCATTCCCATTCTCTTATCCTGTCCTTAATAATATTCTTTAATTGAGTTTGACGCTCTGTAGCACTAAAGAGTCTCCAAATTCTTCTTAAAGAGCCACTTATTTATCCTTCCAGCCTGTCTATGAGTTCAAAAGAGGACCAACAGCTAGAGAGGCTGAGTTCCATGAGGGTCTTCTTATCTGTCCCACAGTGGCTGTTTTTATATCTATTTACTGTTCATTTGTTTGTTCACCTTCTTTTTGGCTTGAGATTCAGTTAGATAACCATCACTACCCAAATGGCTAGACTTTCAGTCACACAAGATCTATCCCAAAGGATAGCTATTTTTTAGAGAAAAATGTTTTTGAAAGAATCCAGTTTCTAGAGCCAAGAACTGGCTTTCAGTTAATTTTGTCTTAAAGGTCATTTGACTTGCTGTGCAAGGGATATTTTAATGAAGCAGACAAGTCTAACAGGATTCCCCTGATTTCGGCACTGGAAAGTACTTCCCAGAGCGTTATGTTCCAGCACCCATAGAGATAAAGAAGTGGAGGTCCCAAGAGGCCTAGTGAGAACCTGGTATCTCTGAATTCTCCTGTCATTGCACTTACTTTCTGCAGTTGTGAGACAGATGTTATAAAAGCGAGGGCCAAGATTCTCATAATGATGAAACTAGCCAGAGAATGCAGCAAGAGTCCTTGCCTGAGGGAGTACGGTCAGCCTCAAACTTTCAGTTTGGTTGTGGACATCTAAAAAAGCTTATAGTGAGGATGTTAACCTAGGGTATCTCTTGATATGGACAGTGTCTTAGTCTATTTGTGTTGCATAATACTTGAGACTGGCTAATTCATAAGCAACAGAAATCGATTTCTTACATTTTTAGAAGTTGGAAGTTGAAGATGATGATGCTGGCAGGTTTGGAGTCTGGTAATCACTGCTTCCAAGACAGTGCCTTATTTCTTCATCCTCCAGAAAGAACATATTTCTTGTTTGCACATGGAAGAGGGATAGAAAAGGATGAACTCACTCCATACCTTTTCATAAAGGAGCCATGTGGCTTAGTCAAAGATTCCACTTCTTAATATATGACTACATTTGGTGACTACATTTCAATACATAAGTTTTTTTGGGCAGCAGAGGGTAGGAGCAATTTTTAGACATAGAAGGGAGCCTATAAGTAAATTGAATAAAATTGCTTCTGAATCCGTTTGCTATAGACAAGACGCCTTGTAGTGCAGTGATTGAGAACATGGCTGCTGAAGTACATTGGATGCCTACATGCAAATATTCTAATGAAACCCATCACTTTATACAATGATTATCCACTACTTAATATTATTTCCAAAAGATTAAAGAAAAGAATGATGGAGTTGGTGTAGGCTTCTGGAATTAACTCCTTCTACCACTCCTGATGTGTTACCTATGTAAACTTTCTCTTTTTTTAAACTTTTAAAAAATTTTATTATTTTTATTTTATTGTCAGACTTACATGTCTCATCAAAAAATTTATTAGTTGCAATACACTACTTACATGCAGGATTTTTTATTTATTATTTTTATTTTATATGTATGTGTGTATTGCCTGCATGCAGGTAAATGCACCCATGTCGTGCAATGCCCACGGAGGTCAGAAGACGCTGTCGGATCCCCTGGGACTGGAGTTACGGACAGTTGTTAGCTGCCATGTGGGTGCTGGGATTCGAACCCGGGTCTTCTGCAAGAACAACCAGTGTTCTTAACCACTGAGCCATCTCCAGTCCCCCTTATGTAAACTTTCTGTGAATGTTTTCCTTTGTATGAAATAGGGATGATGACTCTGGTAGCTACTACATAGGCTTCTTGGATAGATTAAATGAGTTAGTACATGTAAAAACTTTCAGAGAAAAAACGTATCATCTAGTCAGCATTTAATAAATATTAGTTGCTGGTCTTACTCTGTAGAGTGCTTGTCAGCCAAAGGGCCTTTTCTCTGTGCCAGTCTGCATGTTGGCTGATTTCTTGCCAGCTAGAAATGCTTCTTGGACATCTTAGGTGGCAAAAGGAGCAAAGCCATTTTTCCTGACAGATAAATGCACCTGTGTTGTACAAGCTCATCCCTAAACCACCAGACCAACTGACTGGATTCCAAGAGAAGGTGACAGAATGTACCTGTTTGACATAGGCACAGCAGGACTATTTTAGGTGTGCCTCCTTATGAGGTGTCTTACATTCCTGATTCTTTGCCTGATCTGGGCATACAACCCACATAATACTCTGCCTGTCAGATTTTCCAAAGTTTTCTGCTGTCCAAATTGTCCTTTATTGTTTTGGATAAAAGAGCTTAAAAACGTAAAAAAACATGTAGGCCTTCCATCTCAATCTACTCAGTAAGACCCCTCCCAGGGAAAAGAGGATGACCCTAGATCACAAGATACTGTTTTATCAGGTGAATTTTATGATTGAAGCTTGTCATTTTTTTCCCTCAGGCCAGGAACCATCACTCTGCAGGCCCTTTCAGAAGCCAATAGAAGGCTATGGATGGAAGCCATGGATGGGAAAGAGCCTGTAAGTTACCCCAGACTCTGGGGAGACCCCAACAGTATAGGTCAGTGTGTGTGTGCCCTCTAGTGGTGCCAGTACAGACATGGTCATAAGTGCTTCAGATCCCAAATATTAGAGCTGGAAGGAATTGTCACTTTGATAACTCTTGTTTAATGGAAATTGAGTTCTAGAGAAGATGAAGGACTTGTCTAAGATTGATCTTGTCCAGGATTACTTCCACAGATTCCATCAAAACTCTTTGCTTCAGTGTTAGACTATGTAGCTATGCCCACAAATTCTTAAAAATGAAAATTAAGCCTTTTTCATATTATAAAATTGACATGTTCATGTAGAGGGACGGAAAATAATCTTCATGTATGTAAGCCTCCATTTAGCTGTCATTCAAAATACTTTCCTTAAATCTCTTAAGCTTCTAGCTTAGCTTGTTCTCTGTTAGAGTTCAGCTGGGGGAGGAGATAGACTTGCCATGATATTCCATTTAGATCACCATTAGGCAGGTAGAGAGGTGATCCCTTTAAAGAGTTAGAGATTATCCCAGCTCTAGAGACAAATCTAGGCAGTTAGAAATCCTTCAAAACCATTCTCTCTTCAGAGTGTTTCAAGTAGGGTTTGTTTAATGGTATATGAAATAATATGAGCTTCATGATATCGGAACTGCAAATACCTGGTATTGGTCCTGATTTTTCCCTTAAATAGTTATGACTGTACTAAGTGATTTTACTTGTCCCCTAGTTTTCTTCTTCGTAATGAAATGACTTTAATGATTTTTGCTGTACCTACCTTTCAGGATTGCTTGGCAGAATCAAGTAAAAAGCTGTCCTGAGAACATTAAAGTGCTGCATTAGTTTTGGGTGCTCTTCCATGGTCTGAAGGACACCTGCAGAGCTACTGGGATGCAGCAGTATTTGAATACAACCTTACTTCCTTGATCTCTTTGAGGAAAAACCTAGCCTGTAGAGGAAGGTTTTTCTTTATGTTCTCAGTGCTTTGAGGAATAAAGAGTAGTAATCTGGGCCAGCAAGATGGCACCTTCCACCAAGACCGACGACCTGAGTTCAGTTCCTGGGACCTGCATTGTGGAAGCAGAGAAACGATCTGACCTCCACATGCGCTGTGGCATGCATTCACCTTTTTCTTCCACAAAAACTTAGTTTAAAAATGAAAAAATAATAAACAGCTCTCAGATTGTGTTCATAGTAGCTAGGTACAGTGTTTCCTTGCCGCATTAAAGTTATAACTGAATAAATAGCCCGATTCTTAATTTTTAAGAGTAAGTCTGTATTCAGAGGACATCTGTTTTTCCAGATGTCTCCCAGAATGGACTTCTGAGTCAGACCTCATCCATACTTTAATTCAAAACCATTTCTCCAGCATCAGTTGTGGGGAACTACAAGCTTGAATCTACCCTTCTCTTATCAGACAATCTTGCCCTTTCATCCCTAGGCCTAAAACATCTCATTCACACAGTGTCAAACTTCTTCTCAGTCGTCATTGTTTTCACTGAAGATATGCTGCCCTTTAGTGCTTTGATTTGTTAATTCTCAAGCATACCCATGCTCATTCACTATCTTGAGGGAGCAGCAAATTGAGTTTCTGAGGAATCTAGGTCTGGTGCCCGGGTCACAACAACATATGCCTCAGTGAGGTAATTTGCTGTATCTTTTTGGTTATAAGGTTAATTAAAAGTCATTCCTCCAGATTCTGTCCATTTTATAAGTTATTCCCATAAACTTGCAGGTTTCAGAAATGGTATAAGGTTCACTTCTTAGAACACTGATGCTTGACCTTTCCATACTTGTGATGTTTCTCTAGGAGGATGCTAGGAGGCAATCGGTCTATACCCCCTCCAGCACTTGGTCTCCTTTTAGCTTTTTGAAGATACGAAGTTATATTTGACGTTCTATGGAGAATGATGCTAAAATATAGGTCCAACTGCATATGGGGCCTCATCAACTTGATAGTGGCTGAACTTCACAAAGCTCTTGTTTATAAGTGACAGCAAATGCTGCTCAATGCAGAAATGCCTCTTACTGAAATATTCATGGCTATACACACATATGAAGAAATTCTTTTTTAAAAAGGAGAGATTGTTAAAGCAGACTCTGATAGAATGATAGGACTTATTTCCTGAGGCCCAAATCTCCATTCTGGTCTCTTACATAGTTGCCAGAGTACACACTTGACACTGACTCTGTGAAATACACCAATCTCTTTCAGATGGCCTCCTGCCTTTCCAAAGAGAAACATCCATTAACTGTTTTACAATTAATGCTCATTATCTCAGTGTCCTTGAGAAAGCCACTCCTTTAATGCCCCAACCTTTGCCTCAGTAAATGTCTAAGGTGAGTTGGCCACAGCTTTAGCTATGCAAACTGTGTGAAATCCAGAAAAGTTTTCGGGGATTGCGTTTTCTAGGAACCTGGGCAAAGATGACCCTGTTCAGCCTACTTTGTTATTATAGCACTAGAGTTTCAAATGGTGTGATGTTCTATATAGGAAACAGAGTTTAATACTGTTGGCTCTATTTACCTGTAGTGGACCACAATAACCAAGGCCTTTTTTATTTCTCTTCCTTTGTAGATCTACCACAGCCCTATAACAAAACAGGAAGAAAGTAAGTAATTCCAACTTCTACTGTACTGACATTATAAACTCAAAGTTATCTTAGGAACATTAAATGCTGTTATTGTTGATGTGTACCGTTCTTGCAAGTCTACATGTGAATGCTTCTGTATAAAATGTAAATCTAACCCTATTTTAACCGTGTATTGATTAAACACGGGAAACCACTTCATTGCTGCTTATGGTGTGAATCGTCGTAGTGATATAGAGACATATATTATCTCCTTCTTGTTCTAGACGTGATAGAAATTGTGTGTATTTCCACAGTAGCATTTCACATTTGATATTGCTTGTCCCTAGGGCAGATGTAATATAATAGGGCTGAATAGTATCATTTTGTGTTACAAGAATTGATATTCTAAACATTCCCTGAGCAAGGACTCTCAGTCTAAGGGTGATTGCGAATGAGCACCTACAGCCCCAGTTCTCTTACTGCAGCCCCTTACTGTGACCATTGAATGTTGAACAGCAACTGCTTTATTGCAGTATGAGCTAACTCTGCTTTCCTTTCTTTGAAACAGTGGAACTGAATGAAGTGGGGTTCAAGTTTGTTAGGAAGTGCATTAATATTATTGAGACCAAAGGTAAGATCTGAACTATCACCTTGACATTGTTTGAATTTGTCCACTTTAACTTTATCCTTGGAAGAATTCTCTAACAGGAGAATGTTATTATCTATTGGTCAGGATCCATCTTCAGGATGACAACTTTTTATTTATTTATTTATTTAAATTTTATTTATTATTTTTATTTTATGTGTATGCGTGTATTGCCTGCATGTAGGTAAGTACACCCGTGTCATGCAATGCCTGCAGAGGTCAGAAGAGGCTTTTGGATCCCCTGGGACTGGAGTTAAGGACAGTTATTAGCTGCCATATGGGTGCTGGTATTCAAACCCGGGTCTTCTGTAAGAATAGCCAGTGTTCTTAACTGCTGAGCCATCTCTCCAGCCCTGATGACAACTTTTTATAAACCTCATATACTAGACACGATTTATAAAATATCAGCAAATTCTAAACCAGTTACCACCATATAATTCATTATTCAAACATATATGGATGATTTGTGACTATCTCTTTTGGAGAGAAAATATCATCAAATGATTTATAATATAATTTGGTGTACCTGGTGTTTTTCAAGCAGTGTTCTCATGGTTTCATCCCAAATGATCAAAAGTTTAGCTTCCACTACAGTACCATTTTAATATCAATTTAATATCAATTAAAACTTGATGGGGCCAAGGCTAAACTCAGGTACATGTAGAACCAGCATACTTTCCCACTGATCAAATGTCCTTGTTTCCTTCTGAGGATATTTGAAATGCAGGTGTCTGTAGTATATGAGCCCATCGTCTTTCATCTTTGAAATGCTGCTCAGCCTTTCTGAGTGCAGAAAATGGCATATTGCTTCACATTTGCCATACTCCAACCCTCTCCTCCTTTATATCACTGCTTGTGGCAATGAGAGAGTTGATATTTTTCTCCCTATCTTTTAAATGTCAGTTCCTTTTCAACATGGCAGATTCTCAGCTACCTGCTTCCATCCATTGATGCACATGCATGTATTTATTATAGAATGTGTTCTCTTCTGTTCAGATTGAATGGGTGATTGATACAATCCAATGGAAAGCTGAGTGATTGTAGATACAGAATGAGGATTTAGGACTATTCCTTTTTCATAGAGGAGGGTTGGAGGCCTTGAAGAGAGAAGGGGAGCTTGTCTTGTCTGCAAATTAACACCAGTATGCCAGAGCTTCCTTTCTATGCCCTGGGGAAGATGAAAGCTATGCTAACAAAGATGACTTGATTTTCTTTCCTTAGGGATCAAGACAGAAGGGTTGTACCGCACTGTGGGCAGCAACATTCAGGTTCAGAAGCTGCTGAATGCTTTTTTTGGTAACAACTTTTGCATTTTTATTGAAAGTAGTTTATATCGAAATGAATGTGAGTAAAAGAGAAAGAAGACACTGCTCAGGAAAATTGAAGAACTTTTTAAATTTGAGTTGTGCTATTGTTCTGTTACTCAGACTGGTCTCAAACTTCTGGGTTCAAGCAATTTTCCTGCCTCAGCCTCCCAAGTAGCACATGCTCAGCCTCTATAATATTAAAGAAATATTTTCAGAGGTAAAACACACATATTTTGCCTACCTTGAGTCAGAGACCATCTTGCAATACAGAAATAGTTGTTCTATCTTTCCTCTCATACCATTTCCTCAAGCCCTTGGAAATCCAGTTTCTACACCCACCTCTCCACTGCCATGGCTTGGACCATGATTATGCATGTGCTTGTCCAATGCAGTGATCACTCTTCAGTCTCTTGGTTGAACACTTTCTCTTGTCTGGGTACTTTCTCCTTAGTTGATTTCCATGATCCAACACTCTTCTCATTCTTCTAACATTTTGTGCTACTCTATTATCAGTGACTCTTACTGCATACTTTCTATCCTCCTACCTTTTAAAAGTCTAGGTGTTTCCAAGAGTTCTATCTTGGTACTTCTTTTCTTCTTCCTCTACTGAGCAATGTTTATCTTGGATATGGGTTACATTTGCCTTTTAAGAAATATATACCTACTTATCTTTATTGGATATTGCCTATCATGACTTACTAAGTGTCTCATTTTTATTGACTAAAAGAGCATTCAGGTTTTTTAATATATTTTTTATTGAATTTTTTGTGTATTTAATGCAGAGTGTCTCAAACAATCTGAATCATCTTTATACCCCTGCCCCCACTGGCACCCTCCCATGGCCCCCCACCACTAGAGCCCATATACACTGTCATCCCTGTTAAGGCCCACTGGGTTGCAGGCCTAAGTGACACATCTACTGTGCGACCTCTACACCTAAGGCACAGGGAACATAGAACAGGGATAAATAAGAGGACACTAATCAATTTCTCAGTTCTCAATAATGAAGCCCCTTCATGCAGCGGAGGGCCAGGAACACAAAAGGTCACAAACGGCCAAAGTATAGAGATCAAGAGTCTGCTGAATGATGGTCATTGCACAAGACATTTATTAAACTTCAGCCACCCAAGGCACTCAGTTTTTTTGTTGTCGTTATTGTTGTTGTTGTCGTTGGAAGTTATCCACTGAAGTTATGTTTGTTAGGCTGGATATACAGTATCCTTTCCTGGCTTGTTTAGACCTGTTAGTAAGACTTGGACTACTCTTGTCTCTTCATTCTTTCTGTTTAGAACATAATGTTGGTTGGGGAGGTGGCTCCAACTGGTAAAGCACTTGTCATGAAAGTATTTGGACCTGAGTTTAGATCCCCAGAACTAATGTAGAAGCCAGATGAGGTAGGGAATATCTGTAATCCTAGTGTACCTATGACAAAATGAGAGGTGGAGACAGAATTCCTGGAAGACTGTGGACCAGCTAGTCTGGCTACATGCAGCAGTGGAGAAGAGAGCCTACGTCAAATGAAATGGAAGGTGAGGACCAACACACCAACACCCAAGATTGTTCTCTGACCTCCACATGCAGGCCGTAGCATGCATGGACCTGCACTCATGCACACATGAACACACAGACATACAAAGTCCATAAAGCACATCACACATACATACACACACACACACACACACAGAGAGAGAGAGAGAGAGAGAGAGAGAGAGAGAGAGAGAGAGAGACTCATTGAAAGAAAAAGAGCCTCCAACATCTATCAGCTCTGGATTCTTGGCATTGCTCAGTTTAAAGTTCCCCGATAAATTTTCTCAGGCTGTGGACTTTCACCCTAGGTTTATTCAGGCTTTGTATTTAGCAGCCAATTCAAGAGGATCTTTAGATACATTTTTGTCACTGCTTTTTCTACATAGCTTCTTTGGTACTCTGCCCTGAATATTCTTTGTTGTTGTAGTAGTGCTAGGGATGGAACCAAGGCCTTGTACATGTGTCCTACCACTAAGGTAACATCCCCAGTCAAGGCCCTGGGACTTCTAGCTATATCAGCTTCTCAGAACTTTATTTTGTCTCTTCAGTTGAGCAATACTTCAGCTTGAGTTCCCATTTCTTATGTTGCCATCGGGAAAATGTTTTCAGATAGCAAGCTCTGGCAACTATAGGGCTTATCTTGCTGTGCCCCTTTGGTCAGTCATAGCAATGTGATGTCTATTATTTATGACTACACACAGTTGCTTCATATAGATTGTCCTGTTTTCTAATTGTTATGACAAGACAGCAAATCTTGTACCAGTTGCCCCGCCATGTCTGGGAGTGGAAACCCATTCATGCGGTTGGCACTAGCACCTATATGCTAACATCTCAGAATCTCCATTCCAGACAACATCTCTTCAGTTCTAAACTAATGCACCTGCTGCCTACTACCTTCATGCCTCTCAAATTTAGTTTGGTTTTAGCACACCTGAGGAGGATATCTATGTGACATATTGTCATCATCATGTGTATTTAACACTCTAGGAATAACTGAGTCAGTAAGCTGTAAAGCTTAAGAATCAGTGTTAGAATCTCTCCATAGGCTCTGTATCTGGATGTTCCATTGGTACTTACATTTGCCATAACTAAAATTAACCTTACCAGTTTTTTTTCTCTGTAAGCCTGATCTTTTTGTGAATGATAATGAGGTATCTGGTAAGCTTAGTTTTCATAAAGTGTCAAAGAACAAATTGTGTTTGTAAAGCTGCATTTTGAACAAAGTTAATCTTTTCTGTGATGTGTAGCTTTCCCCCTCACAACACTACAGGCCTTACAGAAAACCCTGTTGACATTTGTGGATGCTGCAGTACCTGGTAATGGCAAATGTGATTTTGCATTATGGATTACATCATTTGTACAATAGTATCTGTTTTCTTTAGTAACATTACATTGACTTTTAAATATCCAAGTTGACTTATTACAGGGCAATTAGGGAGACTTTTTCATATGTGAAATAGCTGACAGCAAAACCCAAGATACTGGGTCTCTGAAAAGCTATTGAACTCAGAGCAGCAGTTCAAAATTCTGCTTTCAGTATCACTACATTCTTTTCCATTTTGTGTAAAAAGCTAAAAGAAAGTTCGGTGCCAGGTACCCTACTGAGGCTTGTATGTAAGGGATATACTATAAATAGGATAGAAATCATCCTCTCAAATTATACACAGTAGTGTGATTTGTTTCACATATCAAAACCGTGACAGGATTTCTTATCTATTTAATACCATCCTTCAAAAATTTCAGTTCTCATAGGAATGTTTGCAATATTGTTTAGGAATTTCTGGCTATAAATGTTTATGGATATTTAAAACAATGTTTATTAATTTATTTATGTTAAAAACTGATAACCTCAGATCCTTGCCTCCAATCAAAGAAATTCCAGATCTACTGATGATCATCATTTCTTTCTTCATCCAGTAAGTATTTGAGTGCATACCAAGGGTTAGTGTCACTCTGGGGACTGTGTGTTAATCAGGGAACACGCAGCCAGCATTTCCCAAATTTGCAGGTCTTCCCACAGGAACGCTGTTTTTCAGTCATGGAAAGCAGTGTTTAAGTTTGGTCTTCTTCCTTTTAAATTGCTTTTCTTCTTCATAATATTTTCTTTCCTCACACCACTAGGGTGCTTGTTGCCTTGGCTACACATGAATCCACCATGATTCAGCCAGGAGGAAGAACATTCCATATGACTTGCATGCACATAGTTTTCCCTCTTTTCTTTCTTTGTGTCTCATGCTTTATGCCAATCAAAAGACCACTTTTAATTATTATTATTTCTTTTGGTGTTAGGGGTTAAACTTAGGATCTTGTGCATTTTTGGCAAATACTCCACCAATGAACTATATCTTATGTCCACTTCTAATTATTTCTTTTAACACTGATAGCCCACAGATTTCTTTCCCTATGACATATACACTAACATATAACTGTAAGCGTTTGGTCTGTTGCCTCCTAAAGCTATTCCTTCTTCCCTTCTAAGAAAATTAGTTGTTTAGGCAGATAACCCTAACTGTATGTAGTTAACATAATAACTATTTTCAGTCAGTTGTTTGGTCATTTATTTGAATTCCTTGTGTGCTTCAGAATTTTACAAGTTGCCCGATTGCATATAGATTTTTATTGCATGTGAGAGGCAGAATCTTTCCTCATGCTGGATCCTTTGTAAGTAATCTTTATGAGAAGCTAATCTGGTCTTCTCAGAGGTAATTTGATACTTCATCTAAGAATTCTGCTTCTGCTTCTTTTACCAAATTAATCTTACTAATCAGAGGTTCTCCATTGTCATATAATCTTGACAATAATCCAGTTCTTGCGACTGTAATATTTTATATTGGATGGGGCAGAAGAGTGAGATGGCGCATGAAAAACAGAGAGATTGGATGTATCTTTAGTGAGCTTTCATGGAGTACCACAGGCAGGAAAAGGGCTGTATTCACATTTCCTCACCATGCCAGAGGTCTGCTGATATAAATAGAAGAGCACATGTCATAGTGAATGAAATAACAAATCATTACTAAGATATTACTTATGCTATTCTTCATTTCCTGCTTAGGTATTTAGATTTCTTATTTCAATATTATTCTATTAAAGAAAATATACTTCCTTTAAAGAAATCAAGTAGAATATCTAATGCAATCATATATACAGACAAATAGAGTAGAATGTGCAGACAGTTTTCTATTTCTGACTGAACGTGTGTCACTTAATATTAAAGGGCAAATATTGCACTTAACTTACATATCTGGACAAATTGATAGTATTTTAAACAAAACATCTTTGATCTTTGAGTTCTTTGTGTAACTGTGAAATGCAAAGTTTCCTAGTAAAAATAACAAAACACGTCACACATTACATCAGAAGGTCATAGAACTTGAACTCTGTGTGTTTCTCTTAAAGAGACTCTAATATATTGAAATCTTTCAGTTTTAATGCATATCAAAATCATTTATTTCTAAAGCCAAA